GCCAGTTTGATAGTCTTGCATGAATCGCCATCTTCTGGCTCACCTTGAATGAAAATGCACCTGCCACAATTCCAAGCGGCACTGCATGAGAAGTTGATTCTAGTATGTTAAGGTTAAGCTTACAAGGCATCGTCAACAAGGATGTTTAAACTAGATAGAATGAAAAACGACAGTACGAGAGGTATCAAGTAAACACAAATTATGAATGGTGATTGACGGTGAGAGTGCCTATTAGTATCCAAGTTGTTTGTTTGGTATCAAGCAGCGTCACGTGAGCGCGCCAGTAGCCTATCAATGAAAAAGGTCATCTGGACTGCGCAATAGTTCTACGATGGCATGAAATGTGAGGTATACCCTACGAAACGCCTAAAGGATTCTTGACAGTATGACCATAGCCGTATACTTACTATTACCAAACCCTGAAATTAAAAGGAATTCCAAACAACATCTGAGAGATTGATGAATTTTGGAGGCGAGGTGATATGCACAAAGTAATGTGTGTAGAAAAAACTAAGGAGGACCGAAAGAACGACGAAGATGTTTTTTGATAACAAGAATGTCCATGCCGCTCAACTTAGACTTCCCACTATTGGATACAAGCTTCAAAAAAGCCAGAATATCGTCGTCTTCCCAGGTATTGGCTTCTAAGAGGAATTCTTCATTTTTGCAGCCGAAACTGATGAAGTTGGGCAAAAATGGGACATGTCAGGGGTAGCGTTTTGCAGAAATAATGCGACTTCAGCTGTTGCCCTTTCTACATCTGATGACACGTCTGGAGGGGATCGCCGTTTTCGGCCCACTGAGTTCAAACGATTTGCATATACCCTTTTCTTGTTCTTCTATTCATGTTAGCAATCACAAAGTGATACAATGTAGTCAATACCTACCTTGGATGAATGAACAACACATTTCACCGGTGCGTCCATACTATCTCGACGCAACTTCTGATATCTATTGTTGCCGAAAATTTTGGACATGTACATGTGAGCCAATTCCTTTCAAAGAGCAACGTTGACATCCGCTTCGTCGTATAACATGGGATATAAAATGGCTAGCTGACAACGAAGGCATGTGATCACATGCAATATTAACGATAGAAGATCAGTACCTCTTCATCAGCCATGGCTTCATGTTCAGGCTGATCACCGTATGTCCTGTCTAAATCAAAATAGTCGCCTATCATTCTCCGTAACTTTGCCTGAAGAGATAATGGTCGCGTCGGAGTCAAAAAGTGAAGGACATCTGCCCACCTACCTTCCAATCCTCCACCAATGCATCGGTAGTGTTTGGGCCTAATATGTGTTTAATCTCTTCTATCTGCACCGCAGTGTCAGTCCACGCTGTTGAGTCGACGTGTATCACCCACCGTCAACGAAAGCTTGCCTGGAGCCCAGCATCAGGCTAGCACGCTAGACCAAAAGGAAGTGGAACTTACGAGGCATTGCGTACCACGGACATCGAGAGACGGTGAAGAAGATGAAGAATCGGATTTGCAGCTAATATAAGAGGATAACGCTAACACGTGGACGCGTTCTGGAGCGTGACGTGTGACAAAGGTGCTCTGTGGAGGCTGTGTGCCTTTTGTTTATGTGTTTAATACCAAAGCTGCTGTTCAACAAACAAACGTGTGATGGTGTTTCTAAAACCTAGATACTACAGCTGATTGCGAAACGTTAGAGCAGCTCGCTTCCCGTTCCAGCACAACCATCTGTTTGTTTGTTGATGGCCGGACATCAGCACCTTCCAAAAGCAGCACCTGCTTTTCTTCAGCTTTTCCCAGTCACCCTCACCTCCCCCTCTCCTCAAATAATAATGGCGCAGAATGGTCACCGAAGACAAATTGCATAACCTGTCAATAAAATGCTTGCTACCACGTCGCGTCAAATGGTCTGAAAAGCCCCATCGATCCGATTTATTTGGCTTTGGTGTCCGCCGCAAACAAACACACGGTTGAGCTGGAACGGTAACCGAGCTGCTCTAACGTTTCGCAATCAGCTGTAAAGTATCCAGGAATTTCACATGACGCAACTTACGTAACGCTCCTAACGCTACATACCAACACCACCTTGACACCACCTCAAGAGTCAACAGTGGTTCGATACGGCCACCCATTTTCTAGCTGAAAAAGTCAAACAACCGAACCAGAAATATGATAGGAATCCACCAATGATAATATAAACTCGGCGCATCTCGTCAATCGCAAACCACTGAACTCAGTACAACTTGAAGTGGACGATCAGTTCAAATTCTGTTTTATTCCACTCATTGTTCCATAGAAAAAGATTATATTGGTAGCGGAAAGACCTGCGTACTGTCCTCATCAATGTAGTGGCAGGCCGCTGCTACGACACCGCCAACGAGCACAGGAATTCTATGAGGGTTAAACTAATACTTCTAAAAATCTATAAATTCTATCAACGGTAAGCAATCTTTTCGCATCGGCGTCAGCCTAGTTGGCTACTGACAACATTTGTGATTGAAATAAATACAGCAAACTAGTAAACCAAGAACGACAATCCGAAATTTCGCTATGAGAATTATGTACACCTTCAGAACCTAATTCACCACCAGAAGGAAGACGAAGCTCATCAGCCCAAGCCCAAAAACCATACTTTTGTGGACTGGCAGGATATGGTCAAGATCAAGTGAATTCGTGATAAACAACTCTCGAATACCCACCTAGCGTGGACCGGAGCGTTGAGGCAGTTCCAGAAGTAAGCGAGGAACTCGTTGAACCCCCCGAAGATCCAGGAACGTAACATCCATCCGTCACTGTTGTCTGCGACACTGCCAATGCGCAACGCGATGACCCCCCAAATCGATTATCAAGGGTGGAAAGTTCGCACTCCGTCTTGTACGTCCCATCCCCCGCCCGTCCACTGAGGCAAAGATACACCTTCCCAGAAGTGGTTTTAACAGGATACTCGGCGCCTCCCAGACGTTGATTGTTTGCGCCGTAGTAGCTGATCGAGACACCCTGTGCGAGGTGCGCGCCCATGACGGAAACAAATTCTGCCTGTTTTCCGACACATGCGACGTCAAGGTTGGATTTAGCTGCTGGGTAATAGCACCATGTTCCCGCAGAGTTTGGTTCCACGTAGTCTTTTCCTGACTTAATGGCTTTGGTGAAAGCGGAAAGAGCTGTGTGGGCAAAGTAGTTGAGAATAAAAAGCGTAAGGCGTGCAATGAAGGTCATCCTGGACATAAGAATGCGTGAATACTGAGAAAAGGTCTAGAGAGTTTGATGGTCAATTCTCGTATATGTATCCGTTCACAGAGAGGTCCAAATCGAGGCCTTTGCGGAAAACATGCTCGCTTTGATAGGCGACACAGCCTACCAAGTGGGTGACTGAATGAAAGCCTGCAGGAGTTCGTCCAAGTATGCTTGACCGACCTTGGCGTCAGATAAGGGAGACCTTCACCATGATATGGGCTCGAAAAAAAACTCGGAGGATACAACTGCATAAAGGGATGATCATAGAGAAGTTGAAGTAAAGAGGGAGTTTGTTTACAAGGAAGGCTCTTAAGGCGAGTTCTGGTAGAAGAGTGAGATTGCTCCCATGCAACGATTAGCGCCCGTGGCTTCCCAGACTCAAATCAATGACTGTTCATTCAGTCGACATTCTGAACAGAACGTGGCCTATTTTTCAATTGGCTCCAACGATATGTTCTCTACAGGCTCGTATTCTTTCTGGCCGAGCTTCCTCCGCAAGTCGGACGAATAAGAGTTAATGGCTTGACCATCCTTGTGCCATTGACCACAATGGCCTTCGCAGATGTTGGCTGCACCGATACAATAAGCCAAGATTGCACCAAAGATCTACAAAGATTTCACCTGTTGTGTCTTGACGCTTGGCAATGATGGTAGCCACCGAGAGGAAAAGTGCCCATCCGCTTGAGAACATGCTCAACGTTGCCACAAGCACTGATATAAACAACTGCCCAGCTGCCTTGCGTTGCTGTAGCCGACATAAATAAACCACCTGGAGTTCAGCCTCCCCCGATACATTGACAGGCAAATAAGGCTTCATAGCAGAAGTAGGATTGATCCAGTCCAACAACAAGGAAGCCGACGTGGAGTTTGTGGGATTGAGGATGGTTATAGGGAAAGTTGTTACCAGGGACGCATTGGCGACCTCGGAATGGAGAATCAAATTGTTGGGGCTGTCGATGCCAAGGTCGACGCGTGCGGCATCGTGGATGATCCTGATAATGTTGTTCAGCGGTCCTGCGATATCATCATCTATGTTGAACTGATTGGTCGCGTCAACGGGAGAGGAGGCGCTATATTGTGAGAGCGTTCCATTGGGATAAACGAAAGTCGACGAAGAAACGAGATATGAGGGAGGTTTGATGCCACACGACGCATTTGGTCCTAGGGACGGTGGGCACTGGTCGAAGTCAACTTGGAGGGAAACCATCACGTAGTTGGACCCCCCTGAATTCTGGAAAGCGGTGCCTACTCGGCTGCCTAGGTCAATATTGGCTACCTGTATCCTGAATAGCAAAATGACTTGTCGGGAAATAAGAGGAATCAATAGTTTGACACTTACAACCAGTCGATAATTATAGCTCGTTTATCACCCTGTCCACCAGCTTCAAGAGATCGGGCCATACCCAGCAGAGGAGAATAGCTTCCTGGCAAGGAAGAGATCGAAAACCTCGTGGTTGCGGTGATGTCGTACTCCTTGTCCTTCGAACATGATATCAAAACCACGAAGCTTACTGTCCAGGACCTCAGGTCCCCAGTGATAAAGAGGGAGGATATATCACAGTTTGTGAGCGTAGTTCCGTTATACGCATACCCTGAGTTTCCGGCATTCGCAACGGTAATGCTCTCCAAAGTCCAAGCGAAGAGTGTGTAATTCGTTGTGAGAGCATCGCCCACATTGAAGACGCGAGTGTCGCAAAGCGGGGCTGGCTCTTTCGTCTGAAAACTGTCGTACCAGTGTGTTTGACGCGTTCCGTAGTCACTCCGGAACACAGTGACGGTCTCGTACCCAGTCAGAGAAACTACGGCGATGTGTTAGCGGGTCTTTTAATGCTCTTGCCACCCTGCCAGTCAGAGCTGAGTTTGGTTCTTACTTACTGTTGAGAACTATAATAACCACCAGTGCTGTAAATCCACCCCCCAAGGCAAAGTAAGGGAACCATTTCCATCGAAAACGTCGCTCCAGTGGATAAGAGAGCATTGCTCGCGATTACACGAGCAGTGAAGCCGACGGTGGTGATGATAGAGGAAGCGGGGCAAAGCACATCTAAAAAGATGAAGTCCAAGCGTTGGAAACATAGGGTTGCAACTGATTGCAAAACGATAGGCCAGTTCTAACTTCTGATGGCGGTTGCTCTTCAGCGGTTTGTTTTTCGGTTTGTTCAGTTGAAAGGCTATAATTAGAAATATAACGGAAGAGCGGTTGTTGTTTGGCCCAGCTTCTTTGACAAACGGCCTGAAGATCAACGGTCGATGCAACTGGCCGCCTAATATCGTTTTGCAATCCCCGGAACGACGGCTGGGTAACCAATCCGGACGGATTCTTGAAAACTCCCAGGAGCAAATCCGGACAAAATCGAAAAAAGGCCAGGGCAGTCTCTCGGGGAGAACGAACGCGTAACTTGGAGGAGGAACGCACGCAAACACGGGTATTGCAGCACCAAGGAGCCGTTAGGTTTCATTCATTTAATGGACAGGACTGGACATGGGGAAGGCGAGATGCAGGACCCTCTCCATTTCCGTTCACCCACAGCCCATCCGCTTCGGCAGCACCCCACGAATTTTGCCGGGTCTCGTCCTCCTTCGCCCGTCGACCCCAACCCTCAGCGCTCAGCACTCACCAGCCGGTTCTCAATGCGCTCCTCGGACAAATGGGTTCTTGAACGTGGAGATACAGCACTTGTACAACTCCCGGTGAATTAAAGTTTATGGACTCTTCTGCCTATTCAAACTGATAGTGGGGACTACCAGGAGCTGTAGACGAGGACACAACGAAAGACATCATGGCTGCCTCGTACGGGGAATGCGGGTAAAATTCCGATGACTGACGGTGTGTGTGGATATTTGTGAATGAGAAAGGCGTGGAAAGAGTTCGGTATTGGAAATAAAGAGGAAGAGCGTTCGTTTCACCCTTCCGGGGCTTTCCTCTACGTCCCAGCTCTGTGTGCCTTGGCGAGGCAAGATGTATATTACAATTCGAGGTTCGGCTTTTCTCGCTGCCCTGCATGATTCCATCTTACATCGAGCCCTGACGTCCACAGGCTGCGCTGGTCACCCTCCAATTTTCTCGCCTGCGTCCCATCTGTCCCCAGCACAGGCCCACACCTAATTATGCCTTTCTATTAAACCGGTGACGAATGCCTTTCTTTGAACGGATGAAGCTCTTCTCCTCTGCAAAGTGCTTCTGGGCAGCGACGATTACACTTAAGAGGCTTCGATGGCGAACTCGAGGAGCTTGTTGTCGGGGTGGACAGGGTGATTGTCCACTAAAGACGCCACAACTTCACGATCGAGCATCTACAAGGCAAGACCCAGCGAACACCGCCATCTAGGAGATTACAACTACCCAAAGACGGTCACCGATCACGAAAAGCGAGACCCATAACGTTGCAGAGGACAGCAGACTGGGTGTAAAGCGAGAGCTTGATGAGAAGGAGACGGAAGACGGTGCGAAACCAACTAAGAAACCCAAAGTTGAAGAAAAAGAAACTGGAGAGCAGCAGAGTGTCTATAAGCCTGGTGCGCATCTTATTATGGACTTCCGCTTACTTTCTCTTATAACAATATGTAGGCACATCGAGCATGGGCACATACACTTCTAAGTTCTTCTACCATTCAGAAGTCCAGCTTCAGGAAGAAACGGAAATGAAAGGACTAGCACCAGGAGCTAATGCCGTTCCCGCTCCAATCACCCAGAGTACTACAAAGCAACAATATCGACTCATCACTGTAGGGAAGAAGAAGCTCCTTGATCCCGAAGGACATGGGAGTGGGAGCCGTCGGAAGGAGATATTCTGGGCGACTGTAACGGCCGTCGGGGATGACCTTGCCTCACTGGAGAAGGGTCTCGGGGGAAAGACTTATAACGCGAAGATGTGAGGTTACATTCAATGTTTTCTCAGCTCACGCGAGAACCCAAGGCTAAGATGTTTTTTAGGGACAAAACACGAAGCCGCGTCCAGACTCGAGGTGCATACGTCATCGTAAACACAGATATCAAAGTTATGTCAAAACGCGAAACACATCACATTTTCCATCCCAAATCAATCGAGACGGGGAACGTACAGAGTTCATTGGGGATCTACAGCGCGTCATCGTTTGTGTTGCAGGTGAAGAACCCGCGGGAGCTGATTACCCCGCCTGGATCATGCGAGAGGTCTTCGGCGCAGCTGCTGGACAAGGCCAGAACGAACGTCGGGGACCCAGCTGTGAGATACCCGAGTTCAAGTTGGACTATGAGGGCGCCCAGCTGTTGCTTTTTGCAGCAAGAGAGGGCGAACAAGGATTGGAGGATAGCTTGGCCGAGTGCAGGGGAGTTAGTGAATTTCTTCATTTGGCTACTTTTTCGTTTCGTTCACTCCTGTTGAAACCGTGCTACCGCTTACAGAGCTGGAGGAGGGAAGTCACGAAACAGTCAAGCAGATCTTGCAAGAGCTTTCCGCAGATGTGGAAGTGTTTCCCTCCGAGCCCTTAATGGGAGAATGGATTTGAATAAATGACCCTCGCTGGAGACGGGCGGGCTAGTACGCATTTGGATCGAATCCAGTGCAAGAGGGTGCGTAAGTTGAAATTCTGAATTACCATCTTGATTCGCGCCCTCCCACTCCACATCGTTATACCAAGATTCAGCTGACTTGCAATTGTAATAGTACACCTAGAATCGACGTCTTTACAGGAAGCAGATAAAATTCCATAAAACCATTCCAACCATCACTACTATATCGTGTTCACGACGGCATACACTATATGATTCCTCCTTCAGAGAAATTGCCAGTAGGCTTCGATGTCTGGGGGCAAGAGAATGCCGGGAATGACATTGATGACAACCTGAGAGTGGAGAGTCATGCTCAGACAGAGCTCGAGAGCAAATATAAATCACTAACTTGATTATCTTCGTCAGTTCCGACATAATACGATGCACCGACTGCCTTCGTAATCGGTTGAATGCTTATAAGAAAATATGGTGAGTGAGTTTTCTCAATCTTAACAATATATCACATACTAATAGGTGTTGGGGATCTCGTTGTTCGTCGGGGTGATATGCCACTCAATCACCTCCTCAGTGGTAATAATTGGGCCATGTGGAACAGCTTTATTATCCTTGAGAGACCAACTACCACCCAGGGAGATGTCGTGCCCGTGTAACAAGACGATTGTGTACGTGTCTTTCTTGCCTTCGACGGCAGTAATCTTCCACTAGTCGCAGCGTAGCAGCAACGTTAGTGTGATCATAAAGATGACAACCAACGCAAAAACTGACGGTTTGACGGCCAAAGCTTGATGGCCCTTGTGCCGCGGTGGTGACGATCTTAAATGTACCGTTCGAGGTCGCGTACGTGCCACCGACCCCGGCGACGGGAGAGGCCCTGAGTGTATAGTTTCCGTTCTCAACCATGATGATGCTTATTCAGAGAGATATTTGGAGCAGAGGGGGAGATGGGTCGTCATTCTTAGGATGACTTTGGCCTTTATACCCTCAAGACCTATTTTCATGGGCTCCAGAATACGATAGTCAGAAGGTGAAGCTTGAATTCCGGGCGCGGCAAAGGCGCTGCTAAAACGTCAGATGACTGACTTTGTTTTGGAGGTGGGAAATCGCTCCTGGCCTTAACCATTCAGAGACTTGCCCTCGATGCGCACACCGTATCTCCACGATCTTCTGCAAACTTTGAGGAAGCTTGCAAGTACTTGCACCGTATGGATGCTCCCCCATGGTTCTGCTGTGTTTATGAGACCTTGTGACCATTCGCCTTCCCAGACATCACAATGAAGTGTCAAGTTTGCTATGAACAACATCGGAATCGGAATTCCTCGTAAAACCGCTTCCGATCTAGCTCAAGGTCAAGAATCTGTTCTTTTATTGCACTGAGCGTCCTTACTCCACATTGGTTTCTCATCGCAGTGTTTTTCATCCGGCTGTTTTCTGTTCAGGAGGCTCTTGGACGGCGTGAAGCTGACACAAGCTCAAGCTCAAGCGCTATTGCCGCGCCCTTCAAAGTCTATTGGCCCGAAGACGTCACGTGCACAATCAGCAGCAAAACTATTGAGGAACCCCTTTTTGTGGAAACCTTGCCATTACATCTTTGCTTTTCAAAGAATGACTAGCTCGTCGACAAGCACCTAAGTCGACTTCATAGCTGGATACGTAGAGCGGCTTCAGGAGTGCTGGGGGCGCAGGTGCTAGCTGAGAACGTTTGATTGCCACGACGCTGGGCGACGGAGATTTGGGCTTTAAAGATGGAGTCTTGCGGAAGTGGCTTTGTGATTCGTACTCGCGCCGTCATACTAATCCCAGATCATGATGCATGTTGCGCGACCTCTTCCTCTCCAAATCTTTCGTAGGTTATTGAAGCATTACTGTCCCGATCGAGGAGGGGTTAATCAAGGCTATACACGAAGAGGATGAAGCTAGACACACATTGATATATTGACCATTGACGCGGCCCACTGAGATGCGTCGGCTGTCTGTAAGTTGCCTTCGGATTGATCTCCTTATCGTTGAACCTGTCAAGTCGCTCTTTACCCGGTCAAGCTTACCACTGGCCTCACTTTCACTCCAGGTTCCTACCAGGCGCCATCGTCGTCTTGTCCAACGTTTCAGTAGACATTCCTCAACGACAAGCTTTCCAGTTCCGTTCATCCGCCATGGGGATACCTCTATCCTAGTCTCACGTTTGGGCGTGCAGAATCGCACTCTCCGCACCACCCGCAAGTTGAATTATGCTCTCCTCTTCCCAACCTTCGTCGAGAGCTGTCGCATCCGGTCCTCCGAAGTCAATCTCTTCTGGGCCACGCAAGGCATTCATCACGAAGTTCCGCAATAACACCCCGGATGTAAAGGTTGAGGTCTTCCTCAAAGAAGCTTTGCAAAGTTACGAGTCGAAGCTTCACGCTATTGCTGCGGGGTACCTAGATATTAAGCGGGGTGCTGGGCCGGAAGTTCTCTCTCGTTCCGTTGGAGAGGCTCCGGGAAGAGTATGAACAGGGCTGGCAGAGTCACTGTCTATCCAAATCGTCAGCCTTCTCAACACGTATTGAGTGTTGGCCGTGATATTCACCCCCGGGACGCTATACAGTCATCTGGATTTGCGAAGATCGCGTTGAGGTCTGGTGATTCTGTTTACGAACACACAGTGAGTTGTCTAATCAAAAGTATAGTGAGTTGGAGTTCCTCACGTGGTGCATTTGCTACTCGGTCCGTGTTGTTCAATGGTCCTTTGATCGCTGTCTCTGAGTCCCTCAATAAGGAGACCTCCGCAGGGCCTCTGAACAAGGGCGCCTAAGCGGACAAGAGGATCAAGGGTAAAAAGTTGTAAAGCTTCCGGATAGTATATCTTCTGTTTTGTAACATTTACCCATCGAGTTACATCCGAGGTAGCCTAATCGGCTACTGGTACCAGTTCTCTAAGCCTTTTCCTCTATCGGTCGTGTAAGCGATAGCCTGGAGACCGTGAACATCCGCTGGACCTTGTGGAAGTTCTTGCTGAGGACGTCGAATGTGTTCGATGGCGCCACACGGGTTGGGAACATGAAGACGAAGACCAATCCTTTTGATTCAAGGAGGGCAGGTGCGGTCACTATCCGCTGTACATTGGCAACCTGATCATTGGATGGTTAGTCTATTGGTGCACTCAAGACGATAATTCAACGCTTACTTCATAGTTATAAGAGAACACGATGAGAATCGTCTGGAAAAACTGGATCGTATTCGATGATGAACTCTTCCGCCTCTTCAGCCGTGACCTTCTTTGGAGCTTGCCTCCATCTTCACCATTTACAGCATTGACGTGGAAGAGCGCGGTATCAACCAGAGTCTGACAAAATGTTCGAGTGAGTGGCAAACCGATCTCGAAAAGGACGTAACTTACATTAGCAGCTCGTCTCTGGGTAACAAAAACCAGTTCCGGATCGCCACCATCGCTGACTGTGCGTGTAACGTAGGGCCGGACAGAATGGATCCTTCCTCCCATCTCTGCCGCCCATAATCCTAGAACGCGGCTCCAGAGAATTCCGCCTTGCTAGAATCGATTCCGAAAGCATTGCCAAACGCGGTAGCTGCTACAATGACCTGCCTGAACCCAAAGGCATCTCTTGACCGGGTTTCATTTGCGGAGGATGCAGGTAGTGTGGTCGTGATAAAATGGCAAGTTGAAGAGCGTGGAGCTGCTTCTCAACAGTTAAATGACCATGTAAAGCATCAAATGTCCGAAGAGTTGCCCCTCCTGGACCAGACAGAACCGCCACGCCTAAGTCAAAAATTAGAGAGAAAGCACTACGATAAAGAACAGTACTGACGGTCTTTGGTTTTGTAGAAGCCTGCTATCTGATCTTCGAGTAAAAAATGTACCTCCACACTGCAGTAACGGTTCTAGTAGAATCGAATTATCGGACAGCAAGAGAACTCACGAAGAGACCCATCCTCTGGATTCAGCACTGCTAGGACGTTATTGTCGGCAGCACTGATAGCTACGGTCGCATTGCCTGTGGCATGGGATGTCGGAGCTGTCAGTTTTGAGCCAGATAGTGGCAATCCGATGAGCCTCTTATGCCGAATTCGTGGAGAGCCCAGCTGGAATACACAGAAGCGACAATCGCGAGAGAAACCGCATTTTGGGCGACTTCTACAGTTTGAAGATCAGGATAAGTATGGTCTGGGGTCGACGTGGAAGTTGGTTGCAACGCACATATGTTTTTTCGCACACCCCGAAACTTCCCCTTCCTCCATCATGCATCATCAATGCATCATCCTCAACAACGCCAGACTGTTTCAGGACGGCTTACTCTCGTACAATGTCGCGTTTGAAAGAACAAATTGTTGAATGATCGATCGTGCGCACCACACCAGCGCCGAGGACCTATCTCATTTCCACTGAAATGCCGTACTCATAAGGAGTCCTTTACGCTTGGGTTGAACAACCTCGACGATGGCAGCGCCTCCCAGAAGCTGGCAAGAAAGCTCGTGCGAGTCGAATTCTGTTACAATCGGCGGCGATATTCACCGCCAATTCTGGGATCTAATCGAGCTGCTTCGCAAAGGGGGTTCGGTCCCAGAAACAAGCTATGTATGTTGTACTTTGCACCATGAAGAGACTAATCCAATTTGCATTCGACTTATAGGGCAACCTTGCCGGTCGCGGGAACTACAGCGTGGAGACAGTTCTGGTCTTCCAAATCTCCATCACAGTCTCAGCATCCTTGCTCAAGGACGTGACTTGCCACGATGGAACAGAGTTTGCTCGCAGACTCAGCCTTTCATTCAAGATATCGAAGAGGCTCTTGAGTGGTGTAGAACCTCATTCATACTCAAGCCCTCATGGACGACCCAAGTCATAAGTTGACTTCCCATACATGTATGTTTCACGTCATCTTCTGTGGATGATGCTCTCTGAAGAATCATAGTTTATCGGACATTACCCTATCCGAACTGTGAGCCCAAATTGGCCATTTGGAGATACCACATGGACGAATGGTGTCTGACAGCGCACTACAACCCCTTCAACGAAGCATAGATTATCTAACATCACGCGATGAGAATTGGAGCTATTACCAATGTTGCAGATTTGCCATTCAGAGACACCACATGGACGGGTGTTCGATAGCGCACCACAGCCCCTTCACCCTATCCTGGAGACATAAAAGCCACGTCGCACTGCAAGTTTGAGACCATCGCCCCACTTTCTCAATTTCAAGCACCTCATTACACTCTCACAGCCATGTCTTTCAGACCCGGTAATTATACCCTCCAACTGGGCCCCGTCACCGGGGTCGGAGGGATGTATGCTACTGGCAACGGTCTGAACAAGATGGTCAGCACTGCTGCCCGAGTCCCATCGACTGAGGAGCGTCAAGTTGTCAGTACTAATCCACCTCTTTTGGATGATATAGCTCATTTGCTTCTGTTACCAGTGGAGTATCGAACCCGTCGAAGGCAAGGAAGACATATACACCATCATTCTCCACACGGGTGGCGGCAGCGCCTATGGAGGAAATTGGTCCCTGAAGGACAAGTCTCCCGTCCCTCGGGGTCCCGTCTTCACTTTAGAGGAGTTTTCCGAATGGCGTATTCAGCGTATAGATAACGGTCTTCCCTCAAGCGACCCCGCTATCACGTATGTGATATGTCTAGGTGTCTCTGAAATGTGCCTCATCATGATTCTCTAGCATTCAACCAGTCACAGAGGCCACTGGCGCGTCGTGGTTCGTAGCAGTTGAAGCCGACCAGGTGAGCTTCTATAACCACGCCATATCAGCTTTTAGTCATCTTCTGACGCTTCCAGGTTGTGGTTAAACGCTTTCCTCTTGACGTGGAAGAGCCACCCTTCTGGCAGACTGGTGATTATTAGGTACACGGGTAGCTGGAACTCAGGAGGGGTAGTTGCCCAGTTTCATGAACATTGTGTTGACCTGTTCTAGTATCATGTTTCGAATGCAATGATTTCAGTTGTTAATTGAATGTCCCTATAAACATGAGCACTGAGTGTTCACTCTGACGGAAATTTGCGGATAGCTGCGTGATAAGTCTGCCACAAAGATGTAGCAGGCAGGAGCTCAGAGATTTCACAAGTCAGTGCATGATGCCGTGCGATGCATGGGTCAGCACAACGCCTGATCCAATACGTCAGCAGAAACGAGATCTATAGATGGAGGGGGGACAAACAGGAAGACGAAACTTCTATCATACTAGCCTTTTGACGTCCTCCGTTTTTTCCTTTGTTTCGACCTTCACGTTTTCCACCTTCTTCTCCACAGCGCTCTTGGCCTCCTGGACCGTTCGCTCAGCGGCGTCTACAACGTCAATGGCCTTTGCTTCCAGTCCTAAAGTCTCCCGGAGCTTCAGGCCCGTGACCTCCTGTATCTTTTCGACAGTCACTACCGCCCCACGACTCAACTGATCCCTGCCATTCAAAGTAGCCTCTTTTATCCGCTCCCAGGCCATATGAGAGTGAGCGTTCGCAATGTCATGCTTCTGTGCCAATGTAGGAAAGTATGTCTCTTCTAGCGAGCCCAAATAAGCGGAGAGATTTGCAGTTGTTTTGGGGAGGAAGTGGTTGGCGGAGATAATGAGGAAGGTAGGGGGAAGCAGGAGCCGCGTAGCCAGTATGCGGTTACGCGCGATGATGGAGCCACTGAGGGTGGCAATGCCGACATAGAGTAGGCCAGGCGTCAGCGATTCTTTGGGTGAGATGATCGACTTCACTCGGTCTGGTATATCCGTCAGAAATTATCAGAATCAGCGAAAAACACGGAGAACTCACTCTCTACCGCATGCTCTACGCCAATCCATCTTGAAACCCAACCTTGAACATGGGTATGGGCGTCCGAGTATGTCTTGATAATTTGTCTACGCGCAACACCAATTTGTTGCTCTAGCGGTGATGGCTCTGCCACCAAAAGAATGTCGGAGGTTGGGTTGGCGTATATGGAGGGCTACGAACCATTGCTATCAGTCAAGCCAGCTTCAGGATCTACATTGAACATCGCTCGTCACCTTTTCTTTTCGTTCATGAAGCACGACCGTTGTCGCTGCCAGCGACGAAGCAGCCAAAAGGGACCTTTTCGGCTAAGTCTATAAGCAATTGGCAACTTGTGAACCTCAGCAACGACATACCAGGTGAGAAGCTGCACGATACATGGGCAAAATTAGGCCTTGTCAGGCGTGAAAACTGGCGTCTTATGTTCGGTCGGAATTGAACGGGAAATGGGAGCTGTTTGGTGTAGACGAGTTTGCATAACACAGAAGCGCGCAGACACCTTGTGGACCTCCCCCTTGACCTCTGCTAAAGCACTGGCTATCCATAATCTACATGATGTACGACGAGGTGCGACCACTTAAAAGCTACTTATACCGCTTTGGGAGAAGATTCGTGAATCGGGCGTGGATAGGTTTGTTTGCATAACTTCAGCTATATTTATTATTGAGAAGATGCAAAGAAGACGACGACTAAAGCATTGACGGCGGTATACTGAAGAATGAACAAGAAAGTACGTGCTCAATGGCGAGGCTGCATGAAATGTCCGGATATTTATGCACCTTGAATGATGAAATCAGTGACCGTAAATGTCCGTCCACAAATGTGAGAAACGAACCTCACTGCAGACCAAGAAGGTTCTTAGCTCCCTGGTTCAAACGTTCAACAATATTCGGCGTCGAAACCTTACTTTTCGCCGCTTCTGCCGCAAGCTCGAGTACCCTCAGCTTGCCCTGAAGTTGGTCTAAACTCGCCTCGATCTGTTTGATAGTCCCGGGGTCGACGTCGCTCTTGTTCCGAAGACCTTGAAGATGCGTCTCGAGTAAGTTCACGGACTTCTTCACCTGGCCTGTGAAGCTTCCTGAGAGGGCGAGTTCCGAATACTCTGCGGCCAGCTGACCGATTTTTTCGGTCGCGGTCACCATATCTTCACCGATCTTATCGGCCTCCTTGCGGACGTCCCCGACTTCAACTTGTTTCTTTCCCAGCTTCTCAGTGGCGTCTTCATGTAGCTTCTGGGTACCGCTGTTAATAATTTTTTTCTTCTCGACCTGATGGACCCAGATAGAGTTATAATGACGATGCTTGTCCATGTGGTGTTTACAGTCGATGCAGTGATCAAGGTGTTTTCCGTCACTGTCCAAAAATGAGGCACATCCACTTAAGTTCTTGGGGTCAACGGTGTATGGGACAGTACAGTTCTTGTGGCAATTGGAATAACATTGAGGTTCGCCGCAAATGGTGCTGTGAAAGGGTTGGTCCTGGTACACCCACATTTCCTTGGTGCTTTCCTGTGTGAAGTTTTTAGTCGCCTCGACGGTCTAAAGGGGGAAGGGTCAGTGTGAACAAACAAGAATGATGAATTCGACCGACCAGCTTGATGCCGTTTGATTCCCTAATCAATTGTTCAAGTTTCGCCTTCTTCAACGCGAGCTGTGTCATGCGGGCAAGGGTTTCATCGATGTTGCGGTCGATAGTGGTAGATTTTTCATAGAGCGATATGATCTCCCGGGTACCTTTGCGCTCCAGGGTATCTAGCCAGTCGAATAGTTTGACAAGCATCTTTAACGCGGCTTTATGACCTGTATTGACTGCCGTTTCCAAGTCTTCCAACATGTCCCGAGTATCGTCGTCAATCTTGCCCTCCTTCTCCGTCTCTTGTTTGATCTGTTGAAGTCGCTTCTGCATGGCGAAGGGATTATCGAGGAAGAACCGCCTCGACTTTTGCAATTCGACCGGAAGACGGTCACTTTGGAGATTCCATGAGAGGGGGCTAGCGACATTGGTGAAGAGAAGACAAATGTTGTTCTTTTAATCGAAAGTTAGAAGACCATCTGCGGATGAAAAACATTCTCACAGCAAGGGTATTCGGGAAAATAGCGGTAAGCGTAGTGAAGACAAAATCAGTAGCAAAACCGAGGCGGGGGTTGGTACCGTAGGCGAGGATGATGACGGCTGTCACTTCCGGGATGTTCTCCCCAATCGCAGCGACGATGTTTTTCTTGTGCTCGTTATCCTGCAGTACGCCGCGAGTGTCGGCAAGGCCAGGGGTATCAAGCACAGTGATCTGCACACCGTTCATGCTCTTAAACGTGTAAACTTCAGCCTTATTCGTTTGGCTTTGGCCTACATGCGATCCGCTCCTCTCGTTGGCAGCCTTGTAGGGCTCCAGATCATATTCAGCAGGCTGGCGGCCTGCCATAACATTCACGAGGAGGGACAACACACTGGTCTTCCCGGTCCCATTCTCACCTATTTTGATATAAGATATGAGATGTAAAGGGAAAATCTCAGGGAAAACTTGCCGACAAGCAGAATGGTAATTTTGTCCTTGCCTGAGCTGGTATTGACAATTCCTTTCGCGAAACCTTCGAGAGTGCTAACCAAGCGACAAGTTGGTCAGAACTCTACTTCTCATGATTGCTAGCACTCACTTCTCCACAGGTTTGCCTGAGGCGGGCAGAGGGGATGTTGTGGTGAAGTGGATCCTAAGTACATGGATCATTAGATGTTACTGCTGGGTCACATTACCGAGAAAGACACCTACGGCTGAGATGAGGTCATGCTCGCAGTGGTAGTAAGGCAACAGGAGTATGTTTCCCAAGGAATGGCGTGTTGACGGTGGTTATCGTTTTCCCCCTCATCTTATAGTCCCAGTGATCGCAAACAAGCATTGAAAACCCTGCCGCAAGAAGCTTTGGGCAACGCGGAACCTGAGACTGATGCATCAAATATCAATTCGAAGTTCCATAATCCGGCTCAGGCACTCACATTATTCAGCTCTCAGGGCGTCAACACCTGGCACTGAATGTTCAAGATCGGAACAATGAGAGCAGGGTGAAGAACGGCAGGCAGATAACTCCTACTGACTGGAATGGTTAAGTCGTCTTCATGAGCTCCTACAAGTTCTAATTTCGCCTTCACTCCTGTTCCTGTCAAGTTCCCGGCATCAAAGACAGATTGTTTGCCGTCCGTCAACAGTCGACGGAGTTTTCTTAGTTGCGAATTGGTTGCGACTGCCTAAACCTTCGAACAAGCCTTGCAGTACCTACTGCCCCTTGATGATCAGCCAACTGTGGTTCAACAAGATGAATGTTTTCTCACTTACCAGCTTTATCTTCGGCAGAGTTGTAGTACTCGACGGCTGACAGTTCCTCATGAGGAGCAACGATCAAGCGAATTGATTCAACTGGTATGTGGGAGGGGCAGCATCTAGGCAACAAGGCCGTCCATGTTCACCAACTTGAGGCGGAGGCAAGGCGGAGGGTCAGTTGATCCTTGGCTTTGCCTGTGTTTGTCCGGACAAGAATTCCTGGATACTTTAGTATCTAGGTTTTAGAAACACCATCACACGTTTGTTTGTTGAACAGCAGCTTTGGTATTAAACACATAAACAAAAGGCACACAGCCTCCACAGAGCACCTTTGTCACACGTCACGCTCCAGAACGCGTCCACGTGTTAGCGTTATCCTCTTATATTAGCTGCAAATCCGATTCTTCATCTTCTTCACCGTCTCTCGACGTCCGTGGTACGCAATGCCTCGTAAGTTCCACTTCCTTTTGGTCTAGCGTGTTAGCCTGATGCTGGGCTCCAGGCAAGCTTTCGTTGACGGTGGGTGATACGCGTCGACTCAACAGCGTGGACTGACACTGCGGTGCAGATAGAAGAGATTAAACACATATTAGGCCCAAACACTACCGATGCATTGGTGGAGGATTGGAAGGTAGGTGGGCAGATGTCCTTCACTTTTTGACTCCGACGCGACCATTATCTCTTCAGGCAAAGTTACGGAGAATGATAGGCGACTATTTCGATTTAGACAGGACATACGGTGATCAGCCTGAACATGAAGCCATGGCTGATGAAGAGGTACTGATCTTCTATCGTTAATATTGCATGTGATCACATGCCTTCGTTGTCAGCTAGCCGTTTTATATCCCATGTTATACGACGAAGCGGATGTCAACGTTGCTCTTCGAAAGGAATTGGCTCACATTGTACATGTCCAAAATTTTCGGCAACAATAGATATCAGAAGTTGTGTCGAGATAGTATGGACGCATCGGTGAAATGTGTTGTTCATTCATCCAAGGTAGGTATCGACTACATCGTATCGCTTTGTGATTGCTAACATGAATAGAAGAACAAGAAAAGGGTATATGCAAATCGTTTGAACTCAGTGGGCTGAAAACGGCAATCCCCTCCAGACGTGTCATCAGATGTAGAAAGGGCAACAGCTGAAGTCGCATTATTTCTGCAAACCGCTACCCCTGACATGTCCCATTTTTTGCCCAACTTCATCAGTTTCGGCTGCAAAAACGAAGAATTCCTCTTAGAAGCCAATACCTGGGAAGACGACGATATTCTGGCTTTTTTGAAGCTTGTATCCAATAGTGGGAAGTCTAAGTTGAGCGGCATGGACATTCTTGTTATCAAAAAACATCTTTGTCGTTCTTTCGGTCCTCCTTAGTTTTTTCTACACACATTACTTTGTGCATATCACCTCCATCAGGAAAATCACAAATCTGTGGCAGGTTGTGATTGCGTGGCGGAGTGTGGCCGGAGTGATGGATCTGGCACCACACCGCCATGATTTTGATCTCCGGATAAATTGAGCCACGCGCGTCACAATAATCGTTCACGCCACAGATTTGTTGTCGCATGTGTAAGTATCGATCACGCGACATGTTGAATGTCCGAACTTGGAAAATTTTGGACGTGAACTTTTCCTCCACTCTCCGACTCTTCCCGCCAAGCTCCCTCCCCCTCAAGGTCTTCCAGTCCCCCTCCGCTGCGTCGCCGCCACCATCAACCACTACGTTTGGTAACCCGCTCTCAACCACCACTGCACACCAATGACAACAACAACGACCTACCCAACGACAACAACAATGACCTGGCACATCAACAGACATGCCACGTCGACCAGACGGTGATGACGCACGTCGTTGTCACTGTCCATGTTATCGAGGTCAGCTACTCAAACCCCATCCCTTTCTCCTCTTTTAATACCAGACTCAGGGGGCGACATTGCTGTCGGTGACGCGGCAACCAAGAACGGACCAACGTTATAACAAACGACGGGCAACTAGGTGAGCCATCTGACTTCCCTCATCTCTCCTTTTTTGACAAGAGAAGCAGGTCATCGCCAGATTCTTCATGATCAAGGTGCTTTATCTCTACAACGCTATGCACAATCATACTCACACTTGTCTAGGTATGCCACGTCGCTGACGGCGATGTAGCCAACAACAACCATCATACGACCGGCCCAAATCAATCCCCCCCAATAACGACGTGGCAAATGCCATGCCACACCACCTCCAACGATGCCCTCAACTACAGCCAACGCCAACGGCAAAGCAGGATCGCCCACAAACCAAGGCCACCAACCGAGGCGAAGCAGCATCAGCCAAATTCGACCACGACCATCCACGCGAAGGATGACCAACACCCATGAACAGAAGCAGACTACGACGAGCCAAGGTAAGGCACCCCACTCATCGTTCTAACACAGAACCCAGGTGTCATGTCGCTGTCAGGGACGTGGTAGCCGAACGACGAATGTCGTTCACTGTTGTGTATTTAAGACACAATGGTAAGTATCTGCCGTTCCACATTTGTCCCAACCCACACTGATGATGTTTTGCATTTGCTACCCAATCGACTTGGAATGTACGCGAAGACATCAGTGTCGGTGCACATAGTACGATGGCTGACGTGACGAGATAATCTGGTAAGTCGTTGACGATGGATTGAGCCGTTTCGTGATCGCTTACCGTGATTGGGCACCAGCAGCTTGGACGTCGACAACATCAGACATCTCGGGAAAAGTCGGTTGTTGGGAACACGGGTGGATGGATGGTTGAAGGTCGTTGAATTGCTTTCTACATCAGTACTCAGTATTTACATGTGTTTCTGTACGTAGTATGTATATAGGAATACAAAAAAATGATTTTTCGTGTGGCATTGATTGGGCAGTGTGGTGCAATAGTTCAGAAGCTAGGTTTGTGGCCCCATAATGGAATTGTGACAAGATTGTGGCAGGATTGTGGTGCCACAGACGATTGTGGTGGGTCAGTCGCCACCGCAAGTATAATGTCCCCATCCTTGTTTGTGAGAGTGTGGCTGAGCGTGGTTTGAATGAGAAGCGTGGTGCCACACGTGCCACACGTGATGTGATTTTCCTGATGTCGCCTCCAAAATTCATCAATCTCTCAGATGTTGTTTGGAATTCCTTTTAATTTCAGGGTTTGGTAATAGTAAGTATACGGCTATGGTCATACTGTCAAGAATCCTTTAGGCGTTTCGTAGGGTATACCTCACATTTCATGCCATTGTAGAACTATTGCGCAGTCCAGATGACCTTTTTCATTGATAGGCTACTGGCGCGCTCACGTGATGCTGCTTGATACCAAACAAACAACTCGGATACTAATAGGCACTCTCACCGTCGATCACCATTCATAATTTGTGTTTACTTGATACCTCTCATACTGTCGTTTTTCATTCTATCTAGTTTAAGCATCCTTGTCGACGATGCCTTGTAAGCTTAACCTTAACATAATAGAATCAACTTCTCATGCAGTGCCACTTGGAA